CGCACAAACATTCGGGGCCTTAAAACAACTACCAAAATAATTTGTAATAACAATAACGAACAAAATTTCTTTGATATTTTTTCCATGCATTTACATTGGGATTTAGTGGTTTGTTTCGATGTGAGGATACAGACAATGAGACAATTGACAAATAAAAGTGGTTTTTTTATAGGGTTAATTAGGTTAATATTACATTTATGGTATATAATTAAGAGAATAATATGTGTAGAATTAAATTTAGGTTTATAGTTGAGAGAAAATAAAAATTGACTATTTTACCCTTGTAATTATTAGTTGTTCTCTTTCCTCATAAATATGTTTTAAGAAAAACTGACATTATGGAAAGAGAGAGGAATGATTCAAACATATACACAATATATTATTTCTAAATTCTTGTCATTTAGTCAACTATTTAAAAATAATCGAATTATTGTACGTTCAAATTATATTGTAATGTTCTTAATAGTTAACTATATATTTAAAAATAATTGGTTGCAAAGTTAACTATTTAAGTTACATAGTTAATTATTTATATAAACAATGTGTAGTTAACTATTAAGAAAACAGTTTTTAGATAAATAGTTTCTTAATAGTTAACTACACATCCAAAAAACTGTTTATATAACTATTTATATAAAATCTCATAGTTAACTATTTAATATCATAATTAATTATTATGATAACATATATCACTATTTAACGATCATATTTACTTACCTAGTCATATGTTTGTATTATATTATCTTTGATCAATTTTTATAGACATAAAAAAAAATGAGAAAGAATGTACTATAATAAATAATTATGGAAATGAGATATATGATTATTTATTATAGAGAGTATAATTTTTGTTATGAAATTATTTACCATAAGTATAGTAGGAACAAAATCAGAATCACATATGTTAGTTTCTTTATTTTGTTTTATATGTTGTTAGATAATAATTTATATGACTAATGAGTAATATATCACCTAATTTTTCTTTTTTATAACATAGACTGATGTGAAATTGTGAATCATCTTATTTTTACGTGTAGCGTCTGTGTGAACGCTGCTTTCGCGACGCGTTTTTTTTCC